GGTTGATAAGCCACATCGGCTGTGGAGTTCTGAAATTGGATTAGTTGTAGTTATAAACTGTTGAAGCTGATTATCAACAAACAAGTAAAGAATTAAAGTTAGTAATTATCAAGAACAGTGTTAGCAATTAAGCGAATTTAGATCTAAAATTTTATATATTCAAATATTCAAGTTCAAATAAAATCTTTATTGGACATAGTTCAAATGCCAACACTAATCAAGGATAAAGAAAAAGTAAATAAGAGATACTTCTCCAGCACATTTTGAAGAATAATTTTGAATATATATACATACTTTCTATAAGGTAGAAGGGTATATTATAACGCAGTACCAATTATGATACACACATGATATTTCATGATGCAGTAATCAGAATCAGTTGATTTTACTACTATTCGATTTGTCTCGATGAGACGAATCGAATGGGAGTAGAATTATCTGATTCTGATCACTGTGCCACAAAATATTGATATTTAAATAAAATGAAATCATTTTTTAGTCTTTTAAAATTTTAATCTTTAATTATTTGTACCTTTTGATATAGTGATTGAAATCAAACGATTTTGGTACCCTTCGTCTTGTCTCATTGAGATGAATCTAATAGTACCAAAATTGCTCAATCCTGATCACTAGATCACAAGATATCATGCATGCGTCATAATTGGTCCATGTACAATAATTTATTAATTTTTTAGTTTTGTTTTACTTTGTGATATCTCGTAATATAATGGCCAAAAACAAACAATTTTGGTACCATTCGATTCATATCGATGAGATGAATCGAATAGTATTAAAATTGTTCGATTCGGATCATTCAGTCACATAATATTGGCTGTAAAAGTTAACTGCGTCATAATATACTCCTTTATTTTATATAATATATTTTAAAAATAATCTAATTTTAATAAAATAAAATATAATTAATAACGATATTACTTATTAAATATTATAATTTAATGAACTATTTATGATACTTATTTTGTTACTATCATCATATTTTATATCTTATAGTAGTTATACCATATAATGATTAGAGAGCGGTAGCAAATTTTCTTGGTTTTCAGATACAATATAATACCCAAAAAGTATTTATTTACCCTACTCTAATTAATATAACTAAATAGAGTAAATAAATATTTGCTTAATTTGTTTAACCCAATTTTTACTATAACTCTAAAAATTAATTAGGCCATATAGATGTATTATTACACAAAAGCAAATGAATAGCAATATAAAATAATATGTAATATAAACAAATCATTAAATTCAAGAACATAACTAATCAATAGATTTGAAAAAAAAATAATTAAAGCTATTATATACAACTTCTAACTTTTTTTCTATAAACAATTAAACACTGCAATTCTAATTACAAAAATTATTATTCTTGATATGACAATCTATCTATATACAAGATATGCACTATCTACTAAAATTAGTTTCTTCTATCACATCTTGCACTATTATAACCAGTTTTATCACAGATATGACAGAAATATAAATGTCGATATGCTTTTTCTATAGTACTCTTGTAATATTTAGTTTCAGATCTGCCTTTATATTTAGTAACTGATGCGTTAAAAATTTTCAGATTGTCATCTTTTTCATCATTATCAAATTTATTAACTATTATTTTATCTTTGTTGTTGTTTGCAAAAAAATACTTTTTTTGGTTAATAAATGTATTTAATCATTGTACTATTTCATTGTTATAGTCGACTCTCTCCAAACCAATTCTGTCAAAACCGATAACCTACTATAATTGATCCACCATACCTATTCTATAATTGATACCTGATAACCTGTCTTTTCTAATATCCAGTAGTCTTTTTATTCAAGTTCCCAATAGTGTCATGTGAATGTATCCAATCAAATTGTATAAAACTTACCATTTTCACGTGATATATTCACATAATTTAGCAAAAATCGCACTTATATCACATGGCTAAAACTTATTTGTATTTTGGAGATATAAATTCTGAAAAGTTACAATGTAGAAAATGAATGAACCTAAATTGCAAGCATGGTCGAGGTAAAATTTGTAGCAAGTGTTCGAAAAATTCTGAAGAATAGAACTAATTAAATTTTTAAATCTAATACCCTCCCAAATCCGAATAAAAAACCTGTCCATCATGCATACCAGTTTGGAAAGGGTCGACTGTATCACATTAACTACAAGCTATGTAGCTTGCTATGCAAGACCTCATAGCTCATCATATTTAGAATATCGAATTGCTGCAGATCAATTACTTGTTGTTACTGAACATGGCGCAGTAAGTAATTAAGGAACTATTTAAGTAATTTGACTTTGTTGAACTCTAATAACATGCTCATTTATAAATATTACACTTGGTTGATTAACTATTCCTTTTTGCTATCCTGATATCAATATGATGCTATCATTTTAATTTGAAATCTAGCAATTTTTGATACTAATATTACTTGGAAGTAATGACGGTATATAATATCTCGAGAGATATTAGACATACATATGCATATATAAGGAACAGAATCTATAATAATAATAAAATATATTCACCAATTGTTTCTTGGTCTTTTGTCAGAAATTTGCCAAATTTTCTGAATATCTTGATTGATTTCCACAACTATTGATTTAAGTAAAACTTGCCTCGCATTATAAACATCTTTGATGAATTTGTCATATATACTTTTATCCTAATAGTAAAATATATTATATAGTTTATAGTTAATAACCATAAAGGAAGTGTCATTTATCAGCTGATTTTTTGTAAATAGTGAAATTCCCCTCTCTCTCAAATGATTTGATTATATATAAACATATATACATGTGATCTATTGACATGATATTTTGGTACTCATCTTTCTGCTAAAAAAATCAGATGATAAATGACACTTCTCTAAAACATAATTTAGAATTACTATATAAAATGTAATTCTAGTTTTAAAAAAAAAACCAGATTACAAAACCAACATAATTTATAGTTTTTTTATTTAAAATAGTAAAATCTATTAATATAACTTGAGATAGTTGATCAAAATTTAAACTCAAAATTTTAGAATCATCTTGTATTATAAAAGCAATTAAACTCAAATATAAAAAAAAAAAATTGCTAAATATCCATATACTAATACTTTAGATAATTACTAACTTTATAATTGCTATATAAATAAACTATTGCTAAGTTAACTAGTATTGTATTATAATATAAACATTGTGCTATTTTAGTAAGCTCTACAAAAAGAATATATAGTGTCAAAAATTTTGATATTTCTTGATCAATGGCAGGAAATACCTCACTTTCGACAAAAGCAATACCAAGACAAGAGAACAAAATCTGATATTTAAAAAAGCGATTTTATTTAGCTTTCTTTTTAAGTCTAGAATCCAATGCTTTAAAAACTTCAAATAAACTACTTTTACTATATAACACTTGCTTGATAATGTTGTTATATCTTTTTATACTTGATGTTGTTTGAATCTCTATAGTGAAAACCTTAGATGTAAAGACATATACCTATAAATGACAACTAGGATAAAAAACTAGATTTAAGTAGTTTATTGCTAATAGAAACTTTTAAAGTAAATTATGCTATCTTATTTCAAATAATAATTTATCCAAAGTATTGCAACAATGATAGAATTCTTTAATAAATTGATCATATAAAGTAGAGTTAATAGAAAAAGGACAAATCATTTTTAGTGGAATTTTTTTAATTTTTAAATTAAAATAACTCAATAACTAATTAATCAAATATGCTTAAATTTTTTTATTTTAATTTTGAAATTATAAAAACTAAAATAAAAAAATAATTATTAAATTTGATAAGATAATTGCTGAGATATTTAAGCTTTAAGTCAAGAAAACTTTTACTTAGAAAAATTTGTCCCTTTTCTATTGACTCCATCCCATATATACTGCCCAATACTAATTTAAGATTCTTTAGAAAATTTTGGTTGATATGAAAAATACAATATAATGATTTAGTAGTTTCATCCATATACTTGTGTAAATACATTATCTATTGCTAGATCAGCATCTATTACAAAGGCTAATAGTTAGCATCTGTAGCTTTTAATATATATTAAAGAATCCATTTATAAAATTTAGCTATCTTGTCAGATACTAATGCTTGTACTACTAATCTAGACCTAGTGTTGTTGTCAACAATAGAAAACAAACTAAGAGGCATTTAGTACCTATTTGCCTTAGCAATATTGTTATTAAAAACAACATTATAGTACTTGAGCCAAAGAGATACTTGATTAGATATTATTCAAAAAAGTCAGCTGAGATGATTATCTGCATTTAACTCAAATTTAACAACCTATCTCAATTTCTCAGACCACTTTTTAGTAAGAAGTGTAAAAAGACGTGCTGTATTTGTTGTTTTAAGATCCTAAAATTCAGCTTTAAAATATTGAATAGCATTTGCCAAGTTACTATCTAAAAAAGTTATATTTAGAGCTTTTAACAACTGACACTGCATGATAATTAAAAGATTCTATTCTTGATATAAAACTCAATTTCATTCATTGCATCCTGTTTAAATTCACAAAATTTGAAACTAAATTTGTATATTTTTGGATAGAGTTCATGATTATAGATGTTGACAAATGTTGTGACTTTAATACAAGTAGCACTTTTAGAAAAACTTAAATTTATATGCCATTTACATCCTTGATATTTGGACTTTCGTTTACAGTGCATATTAATATTAATAATTTTTTTGGGGCTATAAGTTTCTCCAAATTCACACCCAAAAGACCGATGCTTTATTATATCATTATTGCCGTATTCAACTCTTTTTTTAATAATAGCAAATCCAAATTGTTGTCTATATGCATTAAAAAAAGAATCAATATCATTCCAATTTTGAAATATATAGCCAACACACAACAATGAAAAATCATAAAGGCTTTCTGTTTCTTCTATAATAAAATTATTTAAATATAATTAATAATTCAAATTAATAATAGAATATAGATTCAGCAGAATAAACTTAAACCAAATACTAAATCATTTGATATTCCAATTCATAAACAAATATTCTCCAACAAGACTATGCTTACCACTATCAATATCTTTGGCTTTATTATCAATGTTCTTAATATTTTCAATGTCTTTAATATTTTGAATTTCATTATCAACATGTTCAACATCTTGAACTTTACTATTAACATGTTTAATATCTTGGACTTCACTATTAATATCTTCAATATCTTGAATCAGGGATGGCAAATAACAATATCATTTAAAATTTTTTTGACAAATGACAAATTAGGTCATTTGATATTTTTGTCATTTAAAATAATATATTAAAACTTCAGGTATTTTAGGATTTAACCAATTCTAAAATATCTGAAGTGACACAAAACCTTAATGAACACAGAATCTTAGTATTTTTAAATATAATCTATTTTTGTCATTTGTTATTTACCTTCTAAATGACAAAGTGACAAATAACAATGTGACAAATAACAATGTCACAATGTCATTTATGTCATTTAAAAGTCATTTGCCAACCCTGTCTTGAATATCCTTATTTTTATTTTTACTAATTATTGTTATTTATATAACTTTATTGATTTTAACTTTAAAAGGGTTAAGCATATATATGATAAATAACTAAATTTTTAAATATTTCAATTATCCAGTAAGTGTAATAGAACTAATTACTAAAATCTAAAACTTTTCTAATACTTACGTTAGTTAACTTTTTTTACTTTGATACTTTACAAGATAACAAGATACAAGGCGTTTTTATCAGATACTATTTTATTCTAGCAATTGAAGTAAAGATTTGATTATAGTTTGATCAAATTTTTATTTATTTATTTTTGCATAATAATTACATCATAAATCTCTACTTTATATACTTGACATCTGTCAAAATGTCAAAATAAACTCTAAATAACTAAATTTGTTAATTATTACATTATCGTCATTGTATCTGACTTGTTTTATTTTCTAATGTATATAGTGGTTATATAGTACGACATTGTACTATATACCCATAACAAAAAGAGCTTATCACAGAATACAACAAGTATATTTATCCATTAATTAAAATTAAGTTTACTTGTAATATCAAGACTACTTCTTGATAGTATATGTATGTTTTTGGTTAAATTATCCAAGTTTCTTACTTGGTCAATATTCTTGCCTTGCTAATAAATTTTAAACACTTCATAAATTAATTGTATTAATTTTTTTACTACATTACAACTTTAAAGCTCTCTTTGATTAGTTCCTTTAATAAACCTATTAAGAATATCTATTGTTACCTTTTTATTAATATAATTGTTAATATTTTCTTTGTTAATGATGTTGTATCTTGTTTAAAATTAAATAATACAAATATCAGATATAATATCAATTATAATATATATATATATTTAATATATTTACTTTTCTTGTATTGCTTTATAATTTTTAATATGACCCAATACTAATTAATTAAGTTTGTGCCAAAAATCATTTAATGTATTTTTTGTTTTAGTTCGTATCTCTGTTCCTTCTTTAGAATAAGGTGAATGCCTAAATATTTTCTTAACACATTCATCGATACATGTTGCTAGGGAAAATCTTACTCTAAGAAAGAGCTATTTTATTTTTTTATTCTATATATATACACTATCTTAAAAAAATTATTTTTATTTATTTATTTTTATTATTTATATTCATTTTTTTTAATAAAAAAGAAAATAGAATATATTATAAATCTTACTCTATTATTATTTATTTTTAACAAAATTGCAGATGAAAGCATTGACAATTCATTAAAAGTTTTAATATTTTTATTGATAATAAGAATACTATATACATTTGGTTAGCTAACTGCAATATAGATAAATATTTTATTAGCCAATTGCATATTTCTAAAATATTATTTATTTTATCAAATTCTGCTAGAATTTGACTAGCTTCATGTTCTCATTGTTTTTCTTTAAATTTTTTTTTATAAATATTAACAAATTAAAATTTAATAAGTTTAGATTATATATTAAAAATTAGATAACAATCCAAGCTTAATAAACATACCTGATTGAACCTCTTTATCATACTCATTACTTGAAATTGCTATTGATGAGTTGGCTTATTTTAATATATATTATAATAATAGCAAACTAAATATTAATAATAATATAATGATAATTTCTAAATAATTATATAAATTCCAGATTCCATTAACCATTTTCGATTAATTTGGTAACAAATCTAAGCTCAATAAACAAATATCCAATTGAAATTCTTTATTATCATTATACTAGTTATCTGAGATAGCTATTAATAATTGGTTTGGTTTAATATAGTATAATAATATTATTATTTAGGGAATTGCTATTTGCACCATAATAAACACTAGTTATACCATAGATTTCATATAACAGTAAATATTTTAAATTTTAAAAACTTTTATTAATATTATCTTTATGAGTTATTGACCAAATTTGATTAATTTTTTTTTATTTGAATTCTTAGGATTTGTAGAATTAAAATAAAAAAATTTTCATTAAATTTGATTAAGAACTCATAGAGATACCTTCAATAAAAGTTTCTATTTCTATAATAAAGAAGCTGTGCCAAAATTTTTTACAGGAACTTCTATTGAAGATATCTCTACGAGTTCTTGACCAAATTCAATGAAAATTTTTTTATTTTATTCTATAAATCCATATAATTTAAATAAAAAAATTATCAGATTTGGTCAAGAACTCGTAGAGGTATCTTCAATAGAAGTTTTTTTTTCATTTCCAAAAATGTATATTACAAAGAAGCTGTGCCAAAATTGCTTACATGAACTTTCATCGAAGATATCTCTACATGTTCTTAACCAAATTTAATGAAAATTTTTTTATTTTAATTCTATAAATCCATAGAATTTAAATAAAAAAATTTTCATCAAATTTGATCAAGAACTTGTAAAGATATCTTCGATAGAAGTTTTTTTTCATTTCTAAAAACATATGTAATAAAGAAGCTGTGCCAAAATTGCTTGCATAAACTTTCATCGAAGATATCTCTACAAGTTTTTGACCAAATTCGATGAAAATTTTTTATTTTAATTCTATAAATCCATAGAATTTAAATAAAAAAATTTTCATCAAATTTGGTCAAGAACTCATGGAGATATTTTCGATAGAGTTTTTTTTCATTTCCAAAAACGTATATTACAAAGCTGCGCTGAAATTGCTTACATGAACGTTCATCGAAGATATCTCCGCATGTTCTTGACCAAATTCAATGAAAATTTTTTTATTTTAATTATATAAATCCATGGAATTTAAATAAAAAAATTTTCATCGAATTTGGTCAAGAACTCATGGAGATATTTTCGATAGAAGTTTTTTTTTTCATTTCCAAAAACGTATATTACAAAGAAGCTGCGCCGAAATTGCTTACATGAACTTTCATCGAAGATATCTTCACGTGTTCTTGACCAAATTCGATAAAATGTTTTTTTATTTTAATTCTATAAATCCATAGAATTTAAATAAAAAAATTTTCATCAAATTTGATCAAGAACTTGTAGAGATAACTTCAATAGAAGTTTTTTTTTCATTTTCAAAAACGTATGTAATAAAGAAGCTGCGCCAAAATTGCTTGCATGAACTTTCATCGAAGATATCTCTACGCGTTTTTGACCAAATTCGATGAAAACCTTTTTATTTTAATTCTATAAATCTATAGAATTTAAATAAAAAAAATTTCATCAAATTTGGTCAAGAACTCGTAGAGATATCTTTGATGAAAGTTTTTTTCATTTTCAAAAACGTATGTAATAAAGAAGCTGTACTGAAATTGTTTGCATAAACTTTGATCGAAGATATCTCTACAAGTTCTTGATCAAATTCGATGAAAATTTTTTTATTTTAATTCTATAAATCCATAGAATTTAAATAAAAAAATTTTCATTAAATTTGGTCAAGAACGTGTAGAGTTATTTTTGATGAAAGTTTTTTTTCATTTTCAAAAATGTATATAATAAAGAAGCTGTGCCGAAATTGTTTACATGAACTTTAATCGAAGATATCTCTACGAGTTCTTGACCAAATTTGATGAAAATTTTTTTATTTTAATTCTATAAATCCATAGAATTTAAATAAAAAAATTACTGTTTTAGCATAATGTAAAAACTGTAATTCAAGACCCAACTAACAACTTTGTAGTTTATGGAAAAACTACAAAAACATGAAGTGATTACTAAACAAAAATATGCTAAAAAAATACAAGAAGAAAAAGTGAAAAAATAAGAATTAAAGATATCTTTAATACACAAAAGCAAGAAGTATGAAAAAGTGTAACCACTATTAGTTATTCTTAAAAAGGTTTATATAATATAAAATCATGTGATTTGATGATTAAAAAATTTTTTAGCCAATCAAATTATATAGAAAACTCTACCTTAAGCATATAAAGGTAAATTTACTACACATTTGGTAAATTATCTGTAATTTACTATGATAAATTTACCACCTGCAACCCTGAGTATAACCAAAACAAAAAAGATATATATGAAAGTATAAAAATACAATTAATAGAAAAAGAATTAATAGAAAATAGTATAGAAGGTGAAGAAGTTAAAAAAAAGCTCAAAGAAAAGTTCAATTTGCTAAAAGAGAAAATATCATCTTTTATATAGATAGCTCCTAGTTAAATCTAAAAGATACTTATGAAAAAGCCAAGTTAGAAGCAGGATGGATAACAATAAAAGAAACTGTACTACCAGTAGTACAAATAAAATTATATCCATTAATATAAATACTTAAATTAGCTCAAATATTAATAATAACAAGTATTATATTTTGTATTACTAATTAACAAATTAAAAAAAATTCTACAGTATATATTATATAAATACTAATTTATAAAATTTGAAGATAGTTTATTAATAAAAATAATTAATATATACTTTATCTTTAAATCAAATCAAATCAATCAAATTGTATAACTCCCCTCATTCAATTTTATAATTTATCACCGTAGCGATAGTCCTATATACGGAGGTTAAAACTGCGTTTGCGAATCATTAACCTTAATGATTTGTAAGCACGGTTTGAAACTCCGCATATAGGGCTATCGTTTCGGTGATAAATTATAAAATCCTAAAATCTATAAGCGAACTATTTTCTTTATATAGGCTACAAAAAGTTGATATATATTAATTGAGGTGCAGACATTTAGAATTTCGGAGGCAGTTAACCCAACAAAAATATCACGGCGATACCGTATAAGTAGAAGTGTCGCATACCGTATAAATGCCGTATACCGTATAAATATTGTATACCGTCATTCACCTTAATTTAGTGGGCGAGTGATTCATATTTACAAATACTTATCTAATACCCTTCAGATTACCATTCTATTCGGTTAGTGAGTGTTATAATAAATTTTTTTAATGATATAAAAAATATAATGTATAATATTTGACGACGATTAAAATGGTAAACTAAATACGGCAAAAGTATGCATTGTATTAAAGATAACACGTTTAAAGCAATGATGATTGGTATGGATCCCGACAAACAAACATGAGACTATTAATGTTTGCATAAGAGAATTTCAGTTTAGAATCATGGGAATACAATTGAACGGATTTCATTAAATAAATTACCATATAAGTACGAAATAACACTCGTGTGCGTTATTTTGAAAATCGGATCCTTCAAAAATAACTCATATGTTCTCGATATTAGCGCTCATGGGCGTTCTGAATTAACGTGCATCCTAATGTAGCACATAATTTATTGTTGTAATATAAACGATATACATTTGACACTCCATATGTGCACTCTCTATAATGATAAGTGCACATAATTTGATCGATCTAATGTAATTATATAATATTACCCTTATATGTGGATTTAAATGAATATTCTATA